CATCCTGTTTTCTGCAATCCGCTCTCGCTGGCTCCACGATTGCCCATAAGCTTTCATTCCATGGCCACATGATCTCCCCCATGTTATCCTCAAACCCCGACCCAATCTTTCATTTCTCATTTGGGTTCCAGTCGAGTCACTGCCTAGCACATGATGTCGCCCCAACGGTCTCTTCAGCGTATTCCCTATCCATCTCCTTTTGACATATTTTTGGATGGCGATAGGTTTTTGATTTTGTTCATCATCCCCAGAGTTCCTTGTCGCTGATCCTTTCTGGCCACCTGATCTTCATTACCGATAGAAGTCTGAAGCCTGATAGAAATGTATTTCATGAAGTGCCAAGTATCTGAACAATACAAAAGAAACGACTTGATATTAGTGTTGAAAATGCGAAGCAATCAATGTAGTAGTAGGTTATTGTGCACGTCTGCTTTCTGTAAATGCTGTATGAGCGATGAAGTCACTTATATGTTTCATCCTCACAACAACAACAACAACAACATGACTTTCATTTTTTTTGTCCCAAATCCTAAATTTGACTAGAATTTTCCCATGAATTTTCTCCTTGATGTCGGTATAGATATATTCATCATATCAAAATATGGCACCATTTTTCATTCTGCTTTTCTAAACATTTTGTAGTAGTTCGTGTGTGTGTGTGTGTGTCTGTGCGGGTGTACTTATTGCCTTAGATACGAATATGAACACGTGTTTTAACATTGAAGTTTATTTTCTCTCCTTCTTAAAAACAAGAAGCGCTTATCTTTTCAATTGCCTGATAATGTTGCAATTATTGTTATTGTCATCACATATTCTCTTGTTACTTTTATTATTGTTGGCCTCACTGCTGGTATTTATTATAGCTGATTTTCTCCGCCCTCCTATATATATGCGCAGTATTATTCTTCTATTATATGCTTCTTTTATGTTGAACATCTGGTGTGTATGTGTGTGTGTGAACTTGACATCAGTTTACGTTTCTCATTATACGCGTCCGCCTGTGTGTTTCTCGTAAATATATCTCCCTTAAAAATATTGGTTATTTATGATATTAGACACAGGGAATAATTAGACCTTGTAACCAGAAGGTCCTGGGTTCAAACCCCGGTAGATGCGTACTGATGGAGGGTCCCGAACTAAGACAAAATAGCCGTGCAGTACTCTCAGGTTTCCCAATGGTTCTCTAACCGATGTCAGTTCATTATGAAATCCTGTAATCAGTAAGTCAAGCGGTTACTGTGTCGTGTGTGCTACTGACGACAGGATTTTGTTCTTCCAACTGGTATATTTCTGGTAGTTCTATTGCGGCTAGTGTTGTGCTCAATAGCTGTCTGGTTACCTTCTGTAGCTCACTAATGTCCATGCGTTGTGTGGTACTAACTAGTAGTAGTTGCCGATATATGTAATCTGGAAGACTTTCGATAAACTAGGGAGATAGTAACTGCGTCTCTCACTCTTCATCAAGTGTGAAAAGTTCACGAGGATATAGATTTCAACAGTCTCAGCATCAATACTAACTCCTCTCCTTCTTGTCTTAGCTTTGTAGTACAGAAATACAGCATTGCTTGCTGTCTGTCCACTGGAATGTTAAACTCCTCCATCTATCGTTCTATTACTAACTTCCAGGTCTTCTGCCCATCTAACTGCTCCATAGTGTCGTATGCTGTCTTCTGCCAAACTCTCAGTTACACTATCTCTTTGCCGTCGTATCATAGACGCTTACCAAATAACCGACAGCTTCAAAGTTCCAAAAGAAGCTCAGTATGTCACACACACACACACACACACACTTCAAAAGCTACAGGCCATAGTACCTTCATTTGTCCGTCGGCAGTGACACCATTTGTGTAGCAGCAGAATAGTAGTAGTAGTATTCGGTAATGGAATTCTTTCTGTTGGGAGGCTTGATGCACAGATATAGCCAAAATAGATCTACCCTTATACTAAAGTTATAACTTGCACATGTCCTGTGATTTTGTTCCACTAGAGCTTTTCATTTCTTCTCTTCGCTATTAAGTCCATTCCTCAGCTATTCAATATTTTCGCATATATATATATATATATATATATATATATAATTGTTCCCTTGGGTTCCTAGTGGAACATAGGGCTTCAACTACACGTCTCCACTTGCTTCTGTCTTCTGCTGTACTTTTCACTTGCATCCATGTTAATCCATACTGTTTCATCTCCTCCTCACACGACTTTCTCCATGTCACCCTTGGACGTCCCACTCGCCGCTTCCCTTTCGGGTTCCACTCGAGCAATGGCCTGACGCGCGATGTCACCCAACGGCCTCCTCAGCGAGTGTCCAATCCATTTCCACTTTCTCCTGCATATTTGTTGGGCGATTGGTTCTTGTTTCGTTTGTTCCCATAGTCTCTTGTTGGTGATTCTTTCCGGCCATCTGATCTTCAGTATAGAACGAAGACAGTTGTTGATAAAGGTCTGCAGCCTGTTGAAAATTTTCTTGGTGAACCGCCAAGTTTCTGATCCGTATAGCAGAACTGACTTGACGTTTGTATTGAAAATCCGAATTTTGTTGTTGAGTGTTGCTGAGTGACGAAGATTTCCAGATTGGTTTCAGTTTGATGAATGTGTTTCTCGCCTTCATGATTCTCGATTTGACATCCTCGTCCGTTCCTCCTGTGGTTGAGACAATGCTCCCCAGATAAGTGAATGAAGTAACCTCTTTCAAATCCCTCCCGTTGATGGTGATATATATATATATATATATATATATATTTGACAAAGGGAACCTAGGGAATAAGTAAAATGCTGCACCAACCCTCACGAACAGATATTTTTCTTATAGCATGAATTGCACCTGCAGTAGTATTTATCTCCCACAAGGTTCCATTGTCGTACTGTCATAGTCTTACCCAACACACAGACACAAACAAATCTTTGTGACTCCAGCCAATCCTTTATTGACACAGTAGTTAAATACTCCCTCTTCATGGAACTCATTCACTAAATCCATAGAAGCTGGTATGATTTGCATTTGGAATAACCTTCGAGGTCAACACGTTCCATCAACCATTTCACTACCCATCTTTCAGCTACGAATAGGTCGATGTAGTCCAGTCCTGTAGCATCAACCTACATTTAGTGGGAGCGAATCGCATGCAAAACATTCGTAGATTGCAGCTCAAGGTGTTCAGAAGACTCTGCTCTATTTTGTCAGCGTCTTCAACTACATTTCATCTATATACTCTAATCTATATACTCTATGTCGGGAAGATTATTCCCTGATGGTAATAAGTCAATCCCTGAGTGGCTGAAGTCAGTTATAGTTAAGTTCATTAGTACATCTATGATAAAATTGAATAGAAATGGGGATAGTGGGCATCCATGTTGGACACCACTGGTTGTCGTAACCTCAGATGACAACTTTCCTTAGTGATTGATGATCCCTTTAAGCCTGAATAATCAACTCTGCACAATGAAGCTCACTGATTTTTTTCTTAAACAGAGTGTTTAATTCATCAATGATTGTTTTCTGTTTTAAAAAGGTTAATATGATAGACAATTGTATCGTTTCAGGATTTTCATCATGAGCTGACATTCGTTAGAGAATCACTGGGAAACCTGGGAGTACTGGACAGCTGTTTCGTCCTAGTTTGGGACTCTTCACAGTACGCACCCACCGGGATTCGAACCCAAGACCTTCTGGTTATAAGGCGAGCTCGTATGCCACTAAGCCACTGGGACCCGATCCAATGGTCCATGAATTCTAACTTCTGCCAATTCACGACATAGCACGAGCTCGCCTTGTAACCAGAAGGTCCTGGGTTCGGATCCCGGTGGGTGCGTACTGATGAAGAGTCCCAAACTAGGACGAAACAACTGTCCAGTACTCCCAGGTTTTCCAATGGTTCTCTAACTAATGTCAGCTCATGATGAAAATCCTGAAACCAATCAAATCCCTACAAACCAACAGTTGTATCGTATGTTTGTCTGTTTGTAGCACTTCGTGACTCTGTTGAGAGCTTCAGCCATGTATCTCAATTGTGCTATGTTCTCTGCCATCACTTTTAAACCTTCTTCACGGCTGCCCACAGCCTTTCACTTCTTTAGATGATCACTGTGTCATCCTCTCTCTCTCTCTACTCACTACTTCCATTTAGGATTCGATTTGACAGCCTGGGGTGTTACATCACTTCAAGATCTCATCAGCGTATATGTAGTCCATCTTCTCAGCATTTTTATTGTCTTATTCATCGTAAGATTTGCTGGTTTCCTATCTCTTCTGATATTCAATCTCGAGTGAAGAGAACAAGTGTTGGAGAAAGTCTGCAATAGCCTGTTAGGAATACTTTTAGTGATACGTCGGTTACACAGCAGTTAGGACCCTCACCGACCATGCAAACGGTCCGGGGTTCGATCCCCTGCCGACGCACACCTGATACCAATGGTTGGCCTGCAAAATTTGTGCTACCGATATCACATGCTGAAAATTCCATACTTGCATCAAAAATACGGTGTGGAATCAAGCTGTAATCAAAAATAAAACCTCTGATCCATGGAGAAGTACTTATTAGATTTTAAAAATTTAAATTTTATTCCTTTTTCCAAGTCCTGTGGATCTCCATATTAGTTTTAAAGTATTGAGAGCCTACATTGCATTTTCTGATTCTGTCTGAATTTAACAAACTCATCCTTGTGACTCTGAACATTTCAGTAATGTTTATGGCTTTCCACTTCTCATTTCCTGTGATGTTTATTTTTATTCATGCACTTTTTTGACTACATTTTTGTGTTTTCTTTAGTATCGTAACTTGAAATAGTTAAGCTTTGTATAAATATCCACATCTGCTGATCACTTTCGTGAATTATCCTGACTTACGAACGCAAGTCAGTGCAAAATTCATTCAGTATTTTGTGCTACTTATAATTAAATAAGTAGAGTGATGAATATTGAAAAATTATTAGTGAGGGGTTTGTTTTTTTGTATTCACCAATATTTCTTAATTTTTCCACTATTTTTTATTCTTTAGGTGCTTTATCTTTATCAGTACGTGATACAGAGCAACAAAGAGGTGAAACTGTTAAACATTATAAAATAAGACAATTTACAGAAACTGGTGATGTATACATAACTACAAAACAAGTCTTTCCTGATTTAAAATCATTAGTTAAGCATTATTCCACTCAATCAGACGGTTTATGCTGTTGTCTAACACGCCCATGTCCAAGACCACCACCAGTACCTACAGATTTATCTAGATTAACAAGAGATCAGTGGGAAATATCACGTTCTTCATTGAAACTGATTGAATTATTAGGCGCTGGACAATTTGGAGAAGTTTGGAGAGGTAAGTTGCGTTGACAATGTCAATCGGTGAAAGTTTCCTATTTAAATGTGCTTATTATTGTAATCATTCCCCTGAGTTCCGAGTGCAATAAAGGCTTCAACAGCACATCCTTACTTTTTCTTGGTTTCTGCAGTCCTCTTTATCTGGCTCTACGATTGCCTATAGGTTCTTATCTCCTCCTCAAACAATCTCCTCCATGTCACCCTCGGAACCTCTATGCGCATCTCGTCGTTTCTCGTTTGGGTTCCACTCAAATCATTGCCTGGCGCAGGATATCGCTCGGTGGTCTTCTCAACGTGTGTTTGATCCGCCCCCATTTCGTCCGGCATGTTTGTTGGGTAATGGGTTCTTGATTGGCTCGTTTCCAGTTTCTTTTTGTTAATCCTTTCTGGTTGATCACTTGATCTTTGGTATACAGCAAAGTTTGAAGCTGTTGATAAGTCTGCAGACTGTTAGAAATGCTCTTCTTGATGCGTTGAGTTTCCGACCCACATAGGAGAAATGAAATCTACCTTCATCAGCATGATCATGAATACATTAACTGGTATAATCTGTTTCGAACAGAGTAAAAACCTATAGATCCCAAGATATTCATGCTGTAACTAGATAGGATGTCTAATAAATTTCATATTTTTTAAGATCCACCAATCAACTTACTAATTTTTAGGCAGTTCTGAACTAACAAATGGACGATGAACAGAAACACACTGAGAAGATAAGCCGTAGTGTAATTCTGTTTTGAATCAATCAGCCATACTTCCTAAACTATACGAAAAATGGTGGTAGAACGAATGGAAATAACCCTTTTGTATTTATTAAGTAAAATGCAACTGCGCTATTGTTGAATGAATAGCATATAAGGCAGTTTTTTGTTACAAATTCACAAGACGGCTCTCATAGCAGTCAAATCGTCTTCTGTTCAGTTGACTGCAGAAAAGACTAGTGTGGCGTGTACTACTGATAAGATTTATCAGTAGTATATGAAAAGAAGCTCATCGGCATAAAAACATCAAGTAGCAGGGAGATAGAATTGACGTCAGAAAAAGTAAATGATACAGCATTGTAGACATACATGGGAGACGTGAAGTGAACACAATATGAAGGCCAGAAGTAGAAGATCTGTGCAAATGGTACATTGAAGATAAGGTGTACAGAATTTCGCTGTATGGCGATACCAAATTGCAAATATACATTCCTTTACCAAGTCTCTCATCTCTTCTACCGTCACACTAGTACCTACCCACTGGAATATACCTTCCAAGTTATCAACCTGCCAACCGTATAAATGCTTCCTCATGAGTATTAAATTTTCATAGATTTGAAATGATTATTACTACAACTACAGGCGGAACAGATGAAGATTTCAAATCCAACCAGAGTCGGAAAGGCGAGATACGCCTTCATCAACTTGTAACCAGTTTGGAAATCTTGTGCACTGTGCCTTAGCACAAGCAACAGTCTTTGGATTTTCAAAACAAATGTGAAGTTGGTCAGTTACTTCTTCTACACGGTTCAGAAATTTGGTGTGTCAGGAAAAGGATCTTCAAAAGACCAGTGCATACTTTTATCAACAGCTGCCTTCTCCGGCTCCATACTGAAGATCAAATGGCTAGCCGGCTGGTAAGAAAGAATTAGCTACAAGAAACTCTGGCGATAAACCGACCAAGAGCAGATTGCTCAACCAATAAATATGTAGAAGAAAATGGAGATGGATCGGGCGTACTTTGAGGAGGCTGTCGAATGACATCGCGCGCAATGCAGGTCATAGCTCGAGTGGAATCCAAGTGAGAAGCGAGAGTGACATGGTGGAGATGGTGTGGCGAGGAGCAGATAACAGATTATGGGCAAATATGACCCCCGATGAAGAGGACAGCAGAAAATAGAAGAAAGTGGAGATGTACTGTTGAAGCCCTATGTTCCACTCGGGACCCAAGGGAATAATAATAATAATACAGTCAGTGGTTTTTTTTAATCTGTTCATTTTTCATTTTCATTCATTATAAAAACTTAATTTTTATATAACTTATTCTATATTGCATACAGGTAAATGGAATGAAACTATTGAAGTAGCTGTAAAAACATTAAAACAAGGTACAATGACTAAAGAAGAATTTCTTAAAGAAGCACGTATTATGAAACAATTACACCATCCACGACTGGTGCGATTATATGCTGTTGTTACAGCTGAACCAATATATATTGTAACTGAATTAATGTCCAATGGAAGTTTATTAAAATATCTACGTGATGGTCAAGGCAAAGAATTAGGCTTGAAACCACTGATTGATATGATGGCACAGGTAAAAACAAACAGTATTAAATAATGATTGTTGTTGTGCTTTTTTGTCTTGGGATACAAATATTTATCATGTCATGTATTACTGATTCAAATAAGTATGCATCAGTAATGAAACCAATGATAGTGCAGTTGTTCAGTAGTCTCCCTATAATTACATAGAAAAGGACCAGAAGTTCAGTAAAGATAGCTATTATTTCGGCGATTTCATCATCAAAAGTTGTACAGTCGCATTCATATACATAAGTTTACATAGATACTATTATTATCATTACTATTCCTATTGCCATTTAATTCCACATAATAACGAACGGGATTAAAGGTGTTAATAATTTTCAAGCTGATGTGAAAGTTTGAAGATGTAAATATAGATTACAATAGGCTTCGAACTCCGGTGGTTGCGTACTGCTGAAGAGTCTCAAACTAGACTGACGAAACAGCTGTCCAGTACTCCCTACTGGTTTCCCAATGGTTCTCTAACTGATATCAGCTCATGATGAAATCCTCCAACCAATCAAAAAATAATCTCTACATAACCCATACTTCAAGATTAGAAAATAGTGTTTAACGAATACAGGTGTGAATGGGATGAGCATGGAAACTAATCGAAATAGTAGTATTTATAACTGAAAATAAAAAAAGGAAAAAATATGAAGGGAATGAAAAAACAAAACTAGAGGAGTCAGATTTAGCTAGATCCACGGTAAGTGTAGAGGTTGGACTAGTTTCTTTTGAGCACATCGCTCCGGCTTTCCGATGCATATAGCGAAGGGCTTCTGCAGTACAAAGAAGGCGGAAGTACACTACTTTTGATAGATTTTTGTTTACTCTGTAAGTGACTCTGAATCATGGATGAGTCAGTTGAGATGATGTGACAGGTGTTGACGAAGTTTTCAATCAGGACGGTTCTGATTGAACCAGTGCCTCGTCTTTGCAGCCATGTTGGATAATGTTCTCTATGATATTTTGAAAGCACACACAGAATGTTTTATGTACTTAGCTCCGTAGGAGAAGGTGAACTGATATATTCACATTGGAGTGGTTACATGCAGTAGTTTTTCTTTCACATTTCTTCGAAGTAGTGGGCAGCTGGAGAATATCACTTTTAGTATTGGTGCAGGAAAGGTGTTCTTTAGGTGACTGAAGATTGTCCTCTTTATGATATCTTCTGCTAAGTCTCCCCTGAAGTCCAGATTGAAAAATAGTACTTTCTTAGGTACTGAAGAGCATTTTTCTCTTTTTGGCTTTGATCTCTTCTTCTTATTCTTCCATACTCATTCTTGTTTACACCTGTATTCGTTAGAAAAAATTATTATTATTATTACAAAAAACGCACCTGTATTCCAATCCTGTATGATTCTGTTTCCAAGCCTCTTGTAGCGTATATTCCCACCCCCCCCCTTTGAGCTTTCATATGACATCGAAAATTATTATCACCTTCAATCCTCTTCGTTATTATGTGGGATTAAATAATAATAATAATAATAATAATAATAATAATAATAATAATAACGGTATCTATGTTAACTTATGCATACGAATGCGATTGTACAACTTTTGAGGATGAAACAGCTGAAAAGATATGAGTTTGCTAAACTTTTTATTGTTTTAACTATCCAACTGCATCTATGTGTCATAGTGTGCACTCACTGCCTGTTTTGAAGTAGGTTCCAACCTACCTGTTATGAAGGTTTTGAGGGATACGGAGAGAAATAAAGGCTATTAGAATGTGTATGAAGAGGAACAATATTGCTCAAGTGGTCATTAGCTTGATTCCTGTCGGCATACGACACTTCGTTAATCAAGTTATTCTCAACCTCAGTCGTCAATTTTACCATCAATAATATTCACTAAAGCAGGCCTACCGACTAGTTTAGTGGTGGTAACATGCTTAAGTACAATAGGCTGTCCAATGGATTTAGCACGCCAAAGTGTGCTGCGATATTAAATCATTTACTTTTGATGAGGAGAATAAACTTAAACACTAGTAACTATGGTGTAATAAATAATTTATCTATAGTTGGTAGGATGAGGCTATAAATAGTAATCACCCCTGTGATTCATCTTCGTCTTATCGAGTGACTGTAAAATTTCATCATCTTATTTTTAACCTTGATCCTGGGCCAATCGCCAACCAATCAGAATATTCATTTTCCGTTCATATAGCCGAATCGCCTACCAATCAGAACAATGTATTTTCCACTGCTCTAGCCGAATTTTAGTGTTGTTAAAAATTATTTTAAAATTGATTGCTTTTTTCTAATGCAGTGGTAACCTAACAGACACAGGCCAGCTTTTGTCGTGATATTTACATGGCTCAGTGAAGCAGAAGGTACTAAGGACTAATAGCCGTATCTAGCATTTCAGTTGACTTGTTCATCGAGTTCAGTGTTGAATTGAGACTATATCAAGTTGTCATACAGCGTTGGGTTTCTTTGAACTCATTTCCGAAGCATGTCTTTCATGTCCAAGGCTATGAGCCACACTTACTGTGTGTGCAGGCTGGAACGAGATTCAAACCCGGGATCTACTGAGTGATCTACTCGAGTGCCTACTTAAGTCAATAAGCCACGTCTCCACACACACGGTCTTATAGAGTTTGGTATACTTGGAATGCTTACTGAGATAGATAAAGAGTAATCCATTACACCAAATGTATAATTTGAAATGTACAGAATTCGTGGAGTGAAATTTCACTACAGTTTCCTATGGAAACCAAAATGTTCAGATCGCATACAGTATGTGATCAGCTTGATACCATAAGTGTTAATCAAGAAATCAAGAATCTTTGCGTAAAACTCTTTACTACTGATTGATTGAAATGAGTAGTTGTTGTCTTTCACTCATACCAACCAGATCGAGGTTATTTGAACACACTAGGGAGGGGGATAGTAGTGGTGGTGGTGGCCTTTTCGCTCGCTTAAGGCCGAGCTCATAACCGATATACTGGCGGTTTGACTCATCTCAAAGAGAGTCAAATCAATTCAAACACCTGATGTAAATAGTAGACAACTAATCATTTCAATCAGTCAATCAATCAATCAATAGTATAATGGATATAATGGCATATTCTATAATATGTATGGCATAATTCATGATATTGTGAATTCAGGATTCAAATTAGGTTTCTGAATTACTGACTTTTAGGTTACGCTATGCAATATTGATTGTTTGACATATCTAAATATAGATAAAGCAGTAAGAAGGCGTAATTTATCTGAATCGTGTAACGGTATTTGCGCAACACTTATTTCGAACAATCTGATCACACATAAACTTGTCATGTATGAAATTAATAAAGAGTTAAGGGGTGAGAAATAGAAATAGACTTAGGTCAAGTTTAAAGGATATATTGCAGGTCGAAATAACAATGAAAATCACCAAAACCAAATAAGAGAGGTAATAGTACATCTACCCTGGCTGGTATGAAAACAAAGTTGACCAAGTAAGGTTTAGTGTGATGACGAGTTGTTGTTTTGAACGCATAAAGGTGGTTTTGACTCCCTAATCGTCAGCTTCCTTAAACTTCAGGATACGCCCTCCCACAAACACATTCTAAAGATAGGTTTAAAAGACGTTAACATCAGTTTTATGTCCTGTCTCTATAATATGTTTCGCAATAGAGGAGACTGATCTCCTGTTCTCACAATGAATGCGTTGGGGATTGTTTGCTTCTGAAGGCAAACGTTACTTGCAGAGATCGATGAGTCCTCCCTATGTATGTGGCTATAACTGAACGCTGACATTAAACTAATTTCATCTCTGTTTTATACGCCGTCAATACGATGTCAATATTTGATGGCACGAATAACGCTAAAACAAGTAGACTTAGAACGTATTTAAAACTTCGTCTTCAAATCCACTGAAGGTTACAATGAACTTAAATACTGGACGGAAATGCTCGATTTTTGCTGATACGTCACCTCTTGGTACAGACGCTTCGATGGTTTCTATTGATTAACATGACATCATTCCGTTGACGATAATAAGTAGTCATTTCATCCTATTCGGGACTCACCAGTTGAGTGTGCTCACATCCTCAGTAAGTGGTGGGGTCCCCCTTGACACTCGAATCCACCATCAATCGTTTCAATCGACAGAACAGGTACATCTCGCTGACGAATCTCAAGAAGAACAAAGTACGTGTCTTGGATCCCACTGCTAGCCGCTAGCAACGAAGTAACATGAACAATTAACGAGCAGCACTACCCATTATAAACGCAAAATCCTCATTTCGAATCAGCGAGAATGAAGACACAACAGCGAAGGAGATCTTCTCAGCTACAGTTTTTGGTTTCTACGGATTTGATCGCGAACTGATATTAGTTAGAGAATCCCTAAAAACCAAGAAATACTAGACATTTGCTGAATTTTAGTTCGCAAATCTTGAGCACCACACATTCTTCATGACCCTACACTGGGAATCGAACTCAAGCCCTCCAGTTTACATGGCGATACCTATTGGGGTCATAGATGCGTAAAGCTGAGGAGTCCCAAAACACAACGAAACAGCTGTTATCTAAGGGATGTTAATTTGTGATCTAATTTTCTTTACATTTATCCACCTATAAATGTCATCGTGAAATAGAGCTATTCAAATTAAAAGATGAAGTAGTGCGCCGTTGATGGTTCCGTGATAGAACAGAACACACTTGCCAACCACGCCTGTGGGCCGAGGTCTGGTCATCGGACAACGCACTCCCAAATCTTGCTTAGCCGGCAGTAATCTCCGTAAACAGGGAAGTTTGAGGGTGAGGCTAGTAGTCTCATCCCTTAAAAAAGAAAACAAGAACACTACTGCTACTGGAAATTCAAAGCTCAAACGTGCAAGCGTATGTTCCATTCGAAAAACAAAAGAATAGTCATAAATGAAAGGTTTTCTAAAATACATACATACATATATATATTCTGTGAGAATTCTGAAATGATGGAGAAGATTTGTAGCTCAGGTGGATGATATTGAATGAGTTGTGTTCTCTGTCTCAGCTAATTGACTCAATTGCGAAGCTTTCGTCGTCCTTCTAGTATAAAGCTGCACTGAAGGTGTTGTCTAGAAGGGGGACGACGAAAGCTTTGCAATTAAATCAACCAGCTGAGACAGAGAAGACAACAACTAATCTTGTAAGAATTCATTTCACATACATTGTAAACATTACACAACAGATGTCATCTATCTATCTATCTCTATCACAAAATGTTATTATTATTATTAATAATAATTTGTTATCTATTTTAATTCTCTGTTATTACAGATAGCTAGTGGTATGGCATATTTAGAAAAAGAGCATTATATTCATCGGGATTTAGCGGCAAGAAATATTCTTGTCGGTGAAAATAACATCGTCAAGGTAGCTGATTTTGGATTAGCTCGAATTATTGACAGTGCAAATGAAACATATACAGCTAAACAGGTAATTTTTATCCTTTGTTTTTTGTTTTACAAAAGAAACATTTTTTACTCAGTGAAATTTTCTGCCGTACATTGAAAGTGTATCTCATTTACCGCCTATCTTAATTGGGTTGTTTTTTTCATTGATGAGTTTTAAGTGCCGATTTATTATCATTATTATTCCCTAAGATTCCGAGCGGAATGTAGGGCTTCAACAACGCATCTCCACTTTAACTGCTTCTCTGCATTCATCTTCGACCGGCTTCACGATTGACCACAAGCTTTCATCTCCTTCATGTTACCTTTAGACGCCTAACTCGTCGTTTCCCAATCGAGAGCCTGACGTGTGATGTCATCCAACGGTCTTCTGAGCGTGTGTCTGATCCATCTCCATTTTTTTTTCAGAATATTTGTTGAGCAGTAGGTTTTTGATTGATTTGTTCCAAGGTTGTTTGTTTTCACTAATTCTTTCTGGTCATCTGATCTTCACTGTCGATACAGTGAAGGCAGCTGTTAATGAAAGTCGCCTACAGTAGGCTATTGGAAAATACTTTTGATGACGCGTATGCCAAGTTTCTGACACATACAGAAGCATTGACTGACCTAACATTGGTGTTGAAAATCCGAATTTTGTTCTTTTATGTTGAGCATAAAATGAAATCAACTAGATGGTGGTCATTCCATGAGATATTAATGTTACTGGTTTTGTGATAACTTTGGATAGTTGGTTAGGGTTTTGGTTGTCTAAAGTTCTATTCTCATTCTGCTTACACTCTGCAAACCAATAGCATAGATTGATATTTAATGTCAAACACATTAGCCTTTAGAGTTTTATAACTAGTAATATGCTTAATTATAGTATATAATTTGAGACTAAAGATATGCAATCTCCTATTTACCTTCAATAATTATCAACCTATATTCATACAGTAAAATACGGAGCTGACGACTAATGGCTAACTGATTACTTCACTGATGATGTAACAGCAAGTTTAGTATAAAGAATAATTCAGTCAAAACCCAGGATTGAATGCAGGGCACATCAATAAGATGGCTATTGAAAGTGGATGATGTAAATAGGCTAGTTATCTTTGATCACAGATATTTGCGTTCTATCTCACACTTTAATATAGCATATATAATATTATGAGTAGTATTGAGGATAGGCGTAGTTTTATTTGAGGAGAGTTAGTAAATGAATGAGATCAAGCAGCCACTGGTGTAACGGAGTGTTAATGATTTTGTGGTTGTTGTCTATTCTAATTGCAATGAGCCTCTCAAAACAACTGATCACTTGGAAATATTCCTGCACACCGAGGTAGACACAGAAGTTAGATTTAACTGAGACAACTACCTTATTATCCACAGTGCAGAGAATATATACATATATATCGTTAACACATCAACAGAAATTAAAACTGTGGATAAATGATCAATATATGATTACTGGCATCAATCATGAATATAGACATCTCACTGATCACGGTACTCTACTACAAGTCACGTAGTCAGCCAGGTGAGAGCCTACGGCGAGTTGTCATCTGAAGTGGCGACAACGAGTGGTGTCCAACATGGATACCCACTATTCCCATTTCTATTCAATTTTATCATAGATGTACTAATGAACTTAACTCTAACTGACTTCAGCCACTCACGGATTGACTTATTCCCTGATGGTAATAACATCAGGGAATAATGTTGCCGACATAGAGGATACAGATTATATAGATGAAATGTAGCTGAAGACGCTCACAAAATACAGCAGAGTCTTCTGAACATCTTGAGCTGCAATCTACGAATGTTTTGCATGCGATTCGCTCCCACCAAATGTAAGTTGATGCTACAGGACTGGACTACATCGACCTATTCCTAGCTGAAAGATGGGGAGTGAAATGGTTGGTGGAGTGTGTTGACCACTCCACTTATTTGAGAAGTTGCATCAGCCAGTCCTAACAGGTTGATCGCTGACGAAATCTCAGCACAGATACAGAAGCCTCGTTTGGCATATTATGCCTACCAACTTACGCAATCTCTGGTTTAGTAGACGTGATATTCTACTATCGACCAAAAGAAAGACGTGGATACTGCTCAGCAGTCACTTCGCTCTGTCCTCCTTTATGCCTGGCTGTGACACATGACTACTGAAAGTGGAAGACATGAATAGGCCTGGCTGGCTAGCTAGCTAGCTAGCTATCTTTGATCATAGGTATCTGCCTTCTATTTCCCGTGTTAGGTGGTGGTATAATAAGGTGAGCAATATTGAGGCTAGGCGTTGGTCGAGTGCTAAGTGAGTGAGTGGAAGGGGAAATCAATCGACGAAGCTGTGAAGTTACGCCGATTGAGATGGTTAGGACAGGTGTTACGCATGCTTTTGTCTAGCCATCGCCTTCCGCTATAACGGACAGTGTTAGCTGACATAGCATCGATTAGATTGGAAAAGAGTTGGCTAGTGGTGGTCAAACCGAGACATGGCTTTATCATCAACCAATAAAATACATCCACAACAGTTAGTTTAAGCCAGCCACGTGGGGAGGTGTAGACTTTCTGACAGGCAGGTTGGGGTCCTCGGGGTGGTAAAAACCAATGACGGCTGGAGACAATTGGTGATACGGATCAAAATCGTCCTCAGTAGGTGGCTCAGATGTATTCACTCTTTGTGACTTATAATATCCGATAAAACTATATTCTTCTTCCATATTACTATTCTTTTTACCCCATATTTCTGTTGATTATCTCTATTTTGAATCTCATTTTACTTTCTTCTCTTGCTTTTTGTGCTACATGGAATGTGGTGACTCGAACTGTTGCAGATCGGTGCAAAGTTCTACATCGAAACCAGTCATTCAGTCATGACTTTAAAGCTGGCAGTGATAATGTTGCCTGTCCTAACACCTCTCCTTTTTGATAAGTCCTCTTCATTCGGTTATATATATATATATATATATATATATATATATATATATATATATATATATATATAGAGGCATACAGGAGTGAACAATGGATGTGACCTGGTAGAAGACTGGAAAGTAATTGGGAGTCACATATGTTGTTATTATTGTTTCCTTTCATTCCTAGAGGAACATACAGCTTCAGCACATATCTCCATTGCGTTTGGTTCTCTGCCAACGTCTTCACCTGTCTTCACGTCTGCCCACATACTTTCATCTCCTCTCCACATAACCCCCTGCATGTCACTGTCGCACTGACGACTGACTCGATGCCTCCGGTTCGGGTTCCACTCGAGCAGTGCCCTGGCGTTTGATGTCACTTGATGGTTTGTTTCCTCAGAGTATGGCCAGTCTACCTCCATTTCTTCCTGAAAATTTGTTGCACAATTGGTTCCTGCTGGGTTGGTTCGTTCATTGCCAGAGATCCCTGTCGCTGATCCATTCTGGTCAGCCATCTGACCTTGAGTAGTATTGAGCGAAGATAGCTGTTGAAGTTCTGTAGTTTGTTCGAAGTGCTCTTCATGACTCGCCAAGTCTCATCCGCATAGTAATAAGCACTGACTGACTGACTTCACATTGGAGTTGAAAATCCGGATCTTATTTTTCATGATGAGTAGTGCTATCGATCTTCACACAGACTTGAGAGTAGTTAAAGCTTGCCTTGTTTTCCCGATCTTTGCTTTGATATCCTCATCAGTTCCGCCTGTAGTTGAAACGATGCTTCTCAGGTCGGTAGGTAAAGGAGGTTGCCTCTTTCAGATTTCTCCCATTTATGTTGATTGCTGTTTCTCTTGGTCAGGAATCTTCATCACCTCTGTTTTCTCTAGGGAGTCACATACGCATTCAATTTAGTTTCACACTTTTTTATTCGATATAATTAGGTAACTTTTACATAGAGTAACGGCTTATTCACTTATATATATATATATATATATATATATATATATATATATATATATATATATATATATATATATATATAATTGTTTGTAGAAGTAGTGAAATGTTTTATTTCGATTGAATTCTTTTTCTCTATTTAGGGTGCTAAATTCCCTATAAAGTGGACAGCCCCAGAAGCTGCATTAATGGGTAGATTTACAATCAAATCAGATGTTTGGTCATTTGGTATAGTGATATATGAAATTATCACTTACGGGCAAGTACCATTTCCATCAATGAATAATACAGAGACATTACAACAAGTTGAAAATGGTTATCGTATGCCATGTCCTGTAAATTGTCCTAGTGCTATTTATGAAATTATGCTGAATACCTGGGATGCTAAACCAGAACGTAGGCCAACATTTGCATTTTTGTGTAATTATTTCGAGGATTATTTTGCATCAGCTGAATTATCTTATCGTCCAGCTGAAAATAATACTCCTTTAATCACTAATATTAATAATGATAATGATAATAATAATGCCATCAATGGTAATAAACATGTAGGCAGCAGCAACAGTGGGAACCAACTTCATCCTTCTCATCAATTACAATCTCATTCAGTTAAAGATAAACATTCTCATCAAATGTCGATAAATCAAGATACAATTATGCTGTATAATAATAATAATAATGAATCAAATGATGACCACTCATCATCGAATAATTTAACTCAAACATCATCAGTTAGTACAGCACAACAATTGACAACAACTCCATCTCATATTTGTACAGTTCAAATGTGTTGATCACGCCACACACACAAGACAGTCAAACGTGTTACTGTTGTTGGTGTGTTCTTCTTTTCTTGATTCAATCAATTAGGTATGTGTATACAGATAAATAAATAAATACATTGTTTAATGTGATTAAAATAACAATAATAATAATACTATAAATGTAGACATTTCATCATGTATTCACTTCATCATCATGAGGAAAAGGGGAGGGGGGATATAATGAATGCATAAGTAAATAACCGGAAATTCATTGATTTCTAAATATATGTGAATGTGCCTTACTATGATCACTATTATTATTATTTGTATGAACTGAAATAGTCATGGATCTGATCATCACATCTATATTCACTGATCAGGGATTGAAAGAAGAAGAAATCAAAGCAACAATATAGACACACGGCAGATATACACAAACACATACCGTTCCCCTGGTCTCCTAACATTCATTATATATACTGACGTCCATACATACATACACATACACACACACTCATACCTATATGTATTGTCCCGGTGTTTATTCAAAAAAGATAAGTTTTATTGTTATTGATATACTAACGGCTGGTATACAAGGCATTATTGGCGGACAATCTCTGTCTAATATTACACAAAGAACACGTTCCTGATTTGTCTATAACGAATAAGCAATTCAGTCAACACACATTTAAATATCTCAGAGATGGAGATGAATACAAGAGCCGAAGCCTGTTCAACATCATCATCATCATCATCATCACTATTATTCATCAAAGTGACGACATCAAAGAAAAAGGAGTTTTTTTAATTAATCATGTACAATTTCAAATCATCATTTTCTACTCTCTCTTTCTCAAAAAACAAAAAGCAATATTATTATTGTTATGGCATACATATTTCTTTCGTTATTTCCATTTTATGATACATTTTTTTAAAAAATTTCATAGTGATATAATCTACAGGAAGAAATAAAATGTCTGAAATTTTCTTTTGTTTTTTGACAGGAAAATCAATACATGTTGTTTTTTTCTTTTGTCCTAATGGTGGCGCCAACGTTTTCCCCTTTTAAAGGAATTCCTTTAATTCTCTCTCTCCGTCTCTCTCTGAAGGGAGACTGATTGCACAACACAATTATTCATTTACTAAACTGTCTGTTTTATCCCTCTCTCTCTGTCTCTGTCTTCGTGCATCTCTTGACTATTCTATGTGTATAATTTAAAATAATTGTACTTTTATATTTTATATTTACTTAAGTAGAAGGTTTATCATCAAACTGTTTACTGGGCTAAATTTCATTTCCAATGACTTAAACTGTACGTGTGTGCGTGTCCACACATACACACACACTATACTTCACAACACAACATAAGAAGTTTGTATAAATCTGTCTTCTTTTTTTGAGAATATATCAAAGTGGATCTGATGAAATGAGGTCACCACCTTTTAGTCTTTCTACTAATTTCCTCTCCCTTTTTTTCAATTGTTTAATAAACCCATACTCGCAACATCATCTTTCGTACGCACACACGCACAGACACAAAACGTGCTGCATACATTTCCTCCTTCACCGGACAATAATGATCACACCAAAAAAATATCGTGTAACTCCTTTTCCTTCTCTGGTTTCCTTTTCTTCTTAATCTATGATAGCTGGAAAAATAGTCTTTGTGTGTGCCTATGTGTGAGTCAGTGATTGAGTGAGTGTGTAATGGTGTGAAGCACATTTCATTGATCTACTGAGCAAATTTTTGGAAAAAAAATTATTATCTCATTTGTATTTATTCAAACAAAATAGGATTTTTCATTTCATCAACACAAACAAAACTTGAATATGAAAATTGTGTTAGGGTGTGATGATTTTCACTCATCCACACTTCCTTTTATCGCCACCACCACCCTTTTTCTTTTCTAAATGTGCTGTTCTGCTGTTGTCTGCCTTCAAAATTTCCTCAAACAGATAAAAACACACTTTGAAAAAAAAAAAACAATTGACTCTCAGGATGAAATGTACAACTGATTGGAGTAAAAAATAAAATGAATCTTTCTTTCTTTTTTTTCCCCTCATTATTATAACACACCAAAAAGAATTTGATTCACTAATTCACTTAAGGATTTATAAAATGGCGTAGAAACAGTTTATTGGTTCAGACAATTGTTATTTGCAGACGACATTAAGATATGGAAAACTGTAAATAATAACGAGGATAGGTCGGCCCTACAAACTGATCTAGATAAATTAGCTGAGTGGTCGAACCTGTGGAGTTTGGAAATGAATTCTAGGAAAAGCGCGGTAATGCACTTAGGTCAGAAGTTTTATACGTCGTACTCCCTAGGGGACACAGAACTACCTGATGTTAACGAACAGAAGGACCTAGGAATCATTGTCAGCAATGATTTGAAAACAAGAGCAAATTACAATGCAGCCTCAGCTAAGGCTTTTCGAATGCTATGGGCACTCCGAAGGGCTTTCAAACGATTAGACGAGAGCATGTTCCAAATACTCTACGCAATATATGTCAGGCCTCATCTAGAATACTGCGTACAAGCGGCGGGTCCATGCTTCAAAAAGGAGTCACATATCCTGGAAAGAGTACAGAGAGTAGGAACGAAATTAGTTAGTGGTATCTCACATCTTCCTTATGATAAGAGGATGGAGCATTTAAATCTCTTTTCGTTATCATACCGAAGCAAGAGAGGCGACTTAATTTTAGCATACCGTATACTTAAGGGTGATTTAGTAACTCACCTTTCTAAACTTTTTCCCCCCTCTAGGATACATTTACGGGGTCACCGCAAAAAGGTGCTCAAACCGAGGACGAATAAAATATGTGCTGAATTTAGATTCTCTCACAGAGTGGTCAACGACTGGAACTCCTTACCTGATTCAGTAGTAACAGCTCCATCGGTGAACGCTTTCAAAGAGAAGTTAGATCTCTGCAGAGATACATTTTGCAGGGATTAACACAGGCCACAAGAGCCTTCTATCCTTATCAACTGAATCTGAAACTAATTCAATTCAGGATTTCATCATGAGCTGACATCGGTGACAGATGTCGTCGGCTCATGATGAAATCCTGTAACCAATCAATCAAATCCAAACAAACCAATACTTGATAATATTCAATAACATTATTCTGCGTTATACAATGTCAGTGATTCAGTAGTAGATTGCACAACTCCTAACTATATACGAGAGTTTCAAGTTCCATTCCATCCCATCCAATGCATTCCTAAAGTTCACCTAGTCTACTTGCTGGCCGATAGGTAGTAAAGCTTGGGGAGAAAAACAGAAGTTTGCCTGGGCATATATATATATATATATATACCTAGCAACCCCCACACCCCTTGGAAAAAACATTACTATCGCTACTCGAGTCTTCAAGGCTTGTAGAACCCGCCATGCTATGTTCCACTCCAATTGGAATGCAAAGGATGAAGAAAAAAATCTCCCGTAAAAAACTTACGGTGAATAGCTATTTTATCTGGTCATTGCTAATTTACATGAATGTGAAATTGATGAACTCAATTAGCTAAAATAAACTTCCCATCCACTAGGATATAAACCATACGCATACTGTGTGAAAGCAGATTATACTATCAACTTGTCCAAACTTAAATAGATGACAGCGAGATTCCAACCTCCGGATCCATCCAATAAACCACAATTGATGAACAGTCTTACTTATCAAAATGTATTTTCAATCATAAGAAAATGTTCTGTTTGACTATGGAGTTAAATAGATAAAACAAATGTAGAATATATTGTGTAAAGTTTAAGCTTCCTTTCTATGCGTTTTCATCTTGAATTCCAATAGGCACAGAAAATAAATTCAGAGTGCAATACTTCTAACCACATACACACACATATATATATAGACGAACAGATAGAACATCGTGATATCTATCCAATCATTCTACTACTTGATTGGGGTCCTTGAGATGTGAAGAAGCAATAGCTTGAGATTAAATGTCTCTTCATGTTACTATCCTTCACATTTCTACTCATTATAGTTGTGTTTTGTTTGAATCTCTTTTGTCTACTTTTGTGTGCGACACATGGAGTACGACAACTTGAACTGTTACACATTTTCTGCCAAGTTCTACGCTGCACACTCAATCACAGTCAGTACACTGCACACTCTAGTAAATAAGAACTAGAAGAATTTTGACACTACGTGCAATACCTTCAACTCTGAATCATCTTAGTAATCTTATCCTGCCGAAAAATTATTCAAAAGTAAGTAGGCCGACTGTATTCCATCAAATTTATAGCGGACAGATAAAAAATGACGCCAATTACTTTAAGTACAATTCATTTTTGAATCTTGTCTTCTATTGAACAGATAAATATCTTTTTTTGTAGTTTTGCTTAAATAGTTGCCATTCCATAAACTACGAGCTCGCCTTGTAACCAGAAGGTCGTGGGTTCGAACCCTGGTGGTGGGTACGTACTGATGAAGAGTCCCAAACTAGGCTGGCGAAACAGCGGCTTGTCTAGTACCCCCTGCTGCTTTTCCAATGGTCCTCTAACTGATGTCAGCTCATCATGAAATCCTCCAACCAATCAAACAATAATACCTACAAAAACCAATACTTTACGATAAACTACCTTGGAAAAAAAAGTGAATTCTAATAATCAGTAGATAGCAGATTTGAACCAGACTTGATGTGTCATTCAATTATACTGTTAAAACACAGTCGTCGTCAATTATACCTGGAATATACATTTTTGTGATAGAGATGTAGCATTCATATTTCACTTTTTAGTAAGAACAAGAAAAAATTAAGCAAAGAATAGCATCTTCGATAATCTCCTCTTCTGGCTCTACAATTATATATATACAGAATATCCTAGAATAGTCATCACTAACAATATTGGTGTATTGTTTTAAATACTATCGATCTGTCAAGACCACAAAGGAATTACCACAGTTCAAGAAAGATGCTTAAGTTATAATAAGCATAAAAATGTAATACTAAATAGAATTTGGAATAAAATTAGGATTTCCACAACAAACTGAGGATCAATAAAATCCTGACGGTCAAGGTAAGGACAGTGTCTGAACCGCCTTCTTTTGGATACATAGTGAAGATCCTAATATTACGAAACAGTTGCTTAGTGAGAACGGTTTCTCAGAAGCATTCGTCGATAAAAATATGAATCGAAAGTCTAAGTAGGCCAAAGTGCCGACTGTTCCGAAAAAGGAAGGCATTCTTCTAACAACTTCATTTCCTCGGGGATAACATCAGTGAGATATCAACACAACGCCTAAGGAATACGGCGGTAAAAACAGCATTCAGTGCTACTGAATTATGCTGTCTTCAAAACCAACCCTATTGTGCGTTCGGGAGTAGTTAAAAATAAACTGGTTAATTCCCTACCGATGGCTGCCACCTTGAGATGGTCATCGGGCTTGCAAATCGAAATGAGCCAACAAGCTCACTGGCTGGAACTATTGTTCCTGCAGGTCCAACATGCCAGGAAGATTGTTAGGATAGCGATTAGACTAAAAGCAGTTACCGGCATAGTGTAAGAATTTTTTAACACTATGCTTGGGGTCTGTGGGCGAAGTCGTATTGCTGGGGAACAGGGATGTAACTGCAGTAAGTGGGTTTCTCTCAGACGACCAGCTATGCTGTCTCTCCACTCTGAAGAGAGGGGGTTAAAAAAGGTCGATCCCAAAAATTGCACATCCCGACTACGGTGGTCCATAACCGGCGGTAAGTTTACTATTAGGGAACCAATCCAAGAAACCAGTTCATACAGGGCGTGTGTGACCGGCCTCAAGCAGTTGTTCCCGGTCTCTCCGGTCACGCAACACTAACCCTATTTTTGTCTCAGGTACCCGAACAATCAACCAACTTCCACGGTGTGGACGGCCAGGAAGTAACAACCGCCCACACACTTCCAAAAGCATACGAAGCTTTCGTGAGCATCTTCTCCTTTATCCACATCACCTTCATCTTACTTCCCTACTACAGTCGGTACTATTCTGCATGCTAGTGAGTCATCTTCACTTCACTCTGTGACCACGAACAACGATGAGAGCCATAGAAATATCCTCGATAGCCTCTTAAAGCCACGTCACCATCTTCATATTGGAGCATTCAATGTCAGGACCCTCCGCCAAATTGGACATTAGGGATCACTAGCACGAACTCTGGCATCTCGAGCTATGGGTGTATGTTGTGTTTCGGAGACACACATAAAAGACCCGAGGTGGTCATTCACTTAAACTCACCTGGCCAAGGTGAATCTGCAAAATTCACTTTAAGAGTGTCGTGAGGACTCGCAGGTGTAGGGATAGATTTGAGTGTTAGGGCAGAAAAACCACTTCTTGACTGGATCCCAGTAGATAAGCTTATGTGTACGGTCCGTTAGAAGAAGGAAGGACGGCGTTACCCATCGTTGTCTTTTCGTAGTCTGCGCTTACGCAGCAGCAGACTGCAGTTCGGATGAACTAAAGGATGACTTCTACCTGAAACTCTCTAATTTGCTGCAAAAAGCAAGGCGTTCAGATATAGTTGTTTTAGCAGGCGACTTCAATGTCCAAGTAGAGAAGTTGTGCCAGAATTAGAAATATGTAGGTGGTACGTATGGAGTTTCCTGCCGACGAACTGACAACGGTGATTGTCTTCTACAGTTCTGCTCAGATAATCATCTGTTCCTAGTCAGCACTAACTTTAGGCACAAAGAGAGACATTGCGCAACCTGGCGATCTCCATCACCAAATCAACGCTGGACTCAGATAGACCACATAGCGACAGGGTATCGTTGGCGAGGTTGAGTAGAAGACTGTCGCTCCTTCTGGAACACGTGCATAGACTCCGGTCACACCCCGGTTCGCGCATGTTTATGCTCCAAATTCGATGAGGAGCGAAAGATACTCAGACGCAAACTAACAAGAAGACTTCGTAACGACCGTGAACAGTGGTTGTTAGACAAAAAGGAAAGAGATGCAAAAGGCATCGGCAATCGAAAACACCCGATAACTATTTAGGCTTATCAGGGAAACAAATGGTAAAAGGCAAATGATAAGTGAAACAATCTCTGAGGAAAGTGGCACCAAGACAGACAACTAGAACGTTGGGAAGAACACGTTGAGGAGCAACCAGCCACGCTCAACTTGCCCAGCATACAACACCTCTCTGAATAGGATATAGACACACGTCTTCCGTCACTAACTGAGGTAACAAAAGCTGTCACTAGTCTAAAACGAGGCAAAACAGCGGGACCTGACGAAATGACTCCAGAGGTGTTTAAGGACGGTGGAGACAGTTTACTGTCTGCATTAATTAAGGTATTAGGTAGCGTCTGGGAATCAGAGGTCCTGTCAGGCCAGTGAAAGTCATTGATTATCTCGATATACAGGAAGGGAGACAAGTCTTCCTGTGATAATCACAGGGAGATCAGCTTGACTAATATGCTATCTAAAGTTCTAGGCTCAATAATGGTGCGTAGACTAACGGTTTTTGTGAGGATCAAACACGAGAAAACCAGCCAAGCATTAGACAAAGAAGATGGTATACGGACCATAATTTCACCCTTCGAAAGATTCTGGAACATAGGCATACTTACTGGTGGCGTCCAACAATCGTCATATTTCTTGACGTAAAGTCGGGATACAATTCTGTCGACCGAGAGGTACTCTGGTGATGCTTGGTTGTAAAAGGAATGCCGAGGAAATACATTGCACTCATCAAGGCACTCTACTACAAGTCACGTAGTCAACCAGGTGAGAGCCTACGGCGAGTTGTCATCTGAAGTGGCGACAACCAATGGTGTCCAACATGGATGCCCACTATCCCCATTTCTATTCAATTTTATCATAGATGTACTAATGAACTTAACTCTAGCTGACTTCAGCCACTCAGGGATTGACTTATTACCATCAGGGAATAATCTTCCCGACATACAGTATACAGATTATTATATAGATGAAATGTAGCTGAAGACGCTGACAAAATAGAGCAGAGTCTTCTGAACACCTTCTGCTGCAATCTGTGAATGTTTGACATGCGATTCGCTCCCACCAAATGTAAGTTGATGCGACAGGACTGGACTACATCGACCTATTCCTAGCTGAAAGAAGGGGAGTGAAATGGTTGGTGGAGTGTGTTGACCACTTCACTTATTTGAGAAGTTGCATCAGCCAGTCCCAACAGGTTGATCACTGACGAAATCTCAGCACGGATACAGAAGCCTCATTTGGCATATGCCTGCCAACTTACGCCATCTCTGGCTTAGTAGACGTGATATTCAACTATCGACCAAAAGAAAGACGTGGATACTGCTCAGCAGTCACTTCGCTCTGTCCTCCTTTATGCCTGGCTGTGACACATGACTACTGAAAGTGGAAGACATGAATAGGCCTGGCTGGCTAGCTAGCTAGCTATCTTTGATCATAGGTGTCTGCCTTCTATCTCCCGTGTTAGGTGGTGGTATAATAAGGTGAGCAATATTGAGGTTAGGCGTTGGTCGAGTGCTAAGTGAGTGGGAGGGGAAATCAATCGACGAAGCTGTGAAGTTACACCGATTGAGATGGTTAGGACATGTGTTACGCATGCTTTTGTCTAGCCATCGCCTTCCGCTGTAACGGACAGTGTTAGCTGACATAGCATCGATTAGATTGGAAAAGAGTTGGCTAGTGGTGGTCAAACCGAGACATGGCTTTATCATCAACCAATAAAATACATCCACAACAGTTAGTTTAAGCCAGCCACGTGGGGAGGTGTAGACTTCCTGATTGGCAGGTTGGGGTCCTCGGGATGGTAAAAAGCAATGGCGGCTGGAGACAATTGGTGATACGGATCAAAATCGTTCTCAGTAGGTGTCGCAGATGTATTCACTCTTTGCGACTTGTAATATCCATTAAAACTATATTGTTCTTCCATATAACTATTCTTTTTGCCCCATATTTCTGTTTATTATCTCTGTTTTGAATCTCCTTTTACTTTCTTCTCTTGCTTTGTGTGCTACATGGAATGTGGTGACTGGAACTGCTGCAAATCGGTGCAAAGTTCTACATCGAAACCAGTCAGTCGGTCAAACCGCTTGAATTCGCCTCTTCTAGGTGTATCTACTAATTTGACTGCTCCCGTGGAATGAGTATATTCTGTGCTGAATTTTTTCGGTTTTGTTTTTTCTTAATGTCTGAATGATGAATGTTGTAGTGAAAAAATATGTTAGAATACCTTCTATAGAACACATTTATCAAAGTGGAAGTCTCAATCACCACATTAATAAAGCCTTATCGCAGCAAAACAACAACTTTAGCCATTCACAGTAGCTCTCAGGGGGGTAATTTGAAAAATGAAAAAAGGCAGAAGAAAAACCAAATCGTTTTAATCAACATTATGCATAACACAATATGTATATGTATATATACACACCAGGATGCACGTAAGAAATTGTTACACATTAAGATGTTAAAAAAACACAACCCAAATATGCATTTATGTTCTTTTGTATCTGCTTCTAGTTGATCTAGTAGATCTAAGACTCATGTCTGACACACATGATTCTGCATTACTCACTGCTGTTGTCCTTTTACCTCGTCGTTTTGGAATTCTAGAGAGGAGAGCTTCACTGAACTTTTTAAATGTCTTTTTAAGCATATGGATATCACTGTGTTCTGCAATCAATTTATTCACATGTATACAATATCTTTCAACATCCATCTTTAAGCCTTCTTCTACTGTCATCTCTTCATATTGTTTAGAGGTAAGAAATGGACATTTCGGTGAATGAGTTCTATGTTCTTTATCTGGATCATCCTGAAAATTAGAGGGAGAAAAATACCCCATAAATATTATAGCGTGTTAGAACGTAAAAAGAAGTGGAAAACAAATTATAGATTGACAGTTGTGTACACATATTCTTCTCACTACTTAGCCCAATGAGAAAAGTGTGAATTAGTAGCTTTCTGGCTCAGGTGTATTCAACTCTCGACAATGTTTACCGAAAGTACGAATATTGTGTATCGCACTTCCGCGGATTAAGCTAATAAAGCGGTAAATTCCAAAACGCAAAAACTTCGTTTCACTCTTTGGAAATTACTTCGATTGATTTTAATGATGGATTCATTGATTAAATAACTGCATGGATCCATATCAACATCAAAGTTGATACAGAATACTCAAAGAAAAACCATTACAACCAAAACCAAAAAAACAAAACTGAAACAATAACGCTGTGAAAACGACACTTCAAAGTCGTCAGAAACGCAAAGTAACTTCATGAAATGTACGAAGAAAATTCTCCATACTTAGATAACAACCAACACTAAATGTGACCCCATTCATTAGAACTAATTTCCAGAAATATCGGAAGTGGGCTTGAGCGACCAATAATATCTACTTTGATTTTGTTCATAGCGAATAACCTGAAGTGCTATTATAGTTCTACATTAACTATATCGGTGCACAGAAAAGACTGAATGCTTTCTTAAGCATATTAAAACAACAAGCACACAATAACTGTAAAGTTACACATAAAAATCCAAGCTTTCAAGTATTGGTTTGTAGGGATTTGATTGATTGAATATCGATGAGATGCTCACTGGAGACTGGCCCTATTCAGGTAGATAGTTACCTGGGGTTCTAGTGGGAAGTCGTGACCAGTAGGGTACAGCAGGTCGGGTGTGAGGACAAATACTCGCCACCGATGACATTGTCTAGTGGTCGCACTATGTCATGAATTGGCAGAAGTTAGAATTCATGGGCCATTGGATAGGATCCCAGTGGCTCAATGGTCTATGAGCTCGCCTTGTAACCAGAATGGTTCCGGGTTCGAACCCCGGTGGGTGCATACTGTTGAAGAGTCCCAAACCAGGACGCGGAACAGCTGTCCAGTACTCCCAGGTTTTCCAATGGTCCTCTAACCAATGCCAGCTCATGATGAGATCCTGTAACCAATCCAAGCATTATCTGCTCTCTACAAAGTGATCTTAAATGGTTTGCATCCACCGATATTCATAGACTACTACCAATGTAACAACAGAAGGCAAAACAAGGAAGCCAAGGTATATTTTCAAGCGATCAAACAGCTATTTATATTCATACAGTTTATATTCTTTAACCAGTCAATGAGCGTGCGATTTTGGTCTACACTAAACGACATGAAATAGAATGTTCAAATACATATACAGTATTCTGTTGCTAATGCACTACTGAACTGTGGGAATAGTATTCAGACGTTAACACCGACAAATACAATGATTCTTACTGTGACAATAATATTCCGTTGGAACCCATCGTCTGCATCACAGCACCACACTACTACTACTGCTACTACTACTAGACACAGCCTATTCGTTTTGTCTTAAACTTTCTTAACCTGTGCACTGAGAAATGTCAGGAGAATGGAACACGCGTCAAGGTGAGTTTATCCGCTACCCACCTCACTTGTAATACGCTTAAATGCTGACAGAAAATATACAATCTTTACCGAAGTAGGAATATTTACATCAAATTTTAAAGACAAAAAGTTGGCTTCAGCATTAAATAATTAAAACTTACATCAGGTTCCCATCCTTCTAACTCCTTTAGGCATACAAAACACTGAGCTGCATTTAGGTCTGCGCGTGGTCGATAAAATCCCGACCTAGCTAATTTTTCAGCTGTACACTTTGACCTCCCATCATAAATCCAATTGTTAAAGGTATCTAATCTGTAGGCATAAGAAGAAAGACGATATGTGTCGATCGAAAGCCTGTCCGTCATCTACAAAAATGGTAAAATAGACAAAATCACATTTCCAGACCTCATTAAACAATTATCTGTTTGGCAAGCTAATTATTAAAAATTGATTCCAGTATGCTTTGTAATCTGTCATTTAACAACCTCGCTAATTCCAACGAAACGTAATGGCTTCCTTTATGAATTAAACTGGTTACTTCTACACCTTACACTTTCAATAGACAAAGCATATTCGATGATTACCAGTGATACTTCAGGAAGTTATTCAAAGAATTTACTTGTTTCAGTGAAGCTACTGGTATGTTAGTCATCTTCCAAATTTGTGGGAGAGGGTGGGGGGCAAGATGAAGTCGGTCACAGAAATTGCTGATTTAACATCGCAAGTAATAAAATCCATAAAAAAATAATTGTGACTTCCCACATGCATAAATGGACGACCTATTAAGACAGACAGCTGCATATCTACACAGAACAAATGAAATATTTTCCAAGTCGGAAAAATCTTCGACATGTAAAATGCCGGAAAGAAGTCAGTAAAACGAAACAGCATTCAGTTTGATACGCTATATCCATAACTCTCGGTTGCTAAAATTAATTATGCGACGAACAATCACTCACCTACCAAATTTAAAAAAATTCTGGGATAGGCTAGTGTAATAAATCTGAGGAAATTTCGGAGAAATTCATCGAGATATTAACATTTTCTCCACAACCTCAAAGTTGTTTATTCGGGTAAAAAATTACTTCATGACTGCTTGCCACAATCAACAATGTCTATCTGGAAATAACTTCTCACCAAATCATAGATTTAAAGACACAGTGATTCGATAAACATGTGGTGTGAATCGCATTTATGAGAACATCTGAATGCGCTATTACATCATGTAATAATGTCTAAAAGAACTCACCCGTACGGGAATGGTCTTCACGACTGTAATTTATAATTTAGCCGGCTAGGATACATCATCTGTGCTCTCAGAAACATAGAATTAAGTTCTGGTTCCCTATGCAAGAACTGGCGCGGCATTATGCACCTGTTTATCGCAAGCAAAATACTAAGCCGCATCATCCTGGAGAGAATCAAACACATCCTGGATGAGAAACTTAGACCGGAACAGGTTGGATTCAGGAGAAAGGAGTCATGCATTACCCAAATCGCAACACTACGGATCATCACTGAACAGAGCTTGGAATGGAAGTCAGTCGGCTATCTACCTCAACTTGTTCGACTTTGAAAAGGCCTTCAGTAGTGCAGCATCGATCGAGAGGTGATATGGAAACTACTTCGCTATTGCAGGGTGTCACCAACAATTATACATTTCATCCAACAGTTGTACGACAATGCTACATGCCAAATAATCCACAATAGGAAACTCACGGAATCCTTCGAAGAAGTGAAGACGGCAGTAAGACAAGGCTGGCTGGCTACCTACTATACCCAATGATTTTCCTGATTGCGATAGACTGGATAATGCGACAGACAACGGGCAACGACGAGACAGGCATAAAATGGATCCACACAAAAACAACAACAGACAACAACCAGCATAAATGGGAGAAATCTGAAAGATGCAACCTCCTTTACCTACCGACCCTACAAAGCATCGTTTCAACTACAGACGGAACTGATGAAGATATCAAAGCAAAGATCGGGAAAGCAAGGCAAGCTTTAACTACTCTCAAGTCTGTGTGAAGATCGACAGCACTACTCAGCATGAAAAATAACATCCGGATTTTCAACTCCAATGTGAAGTCAGTCAGTGCTAATTACTATACGGATGAGACTTGGCGCGTCATGAAGGGCACATCGAACAAACTACAGACTTTCATCAACAGCTGTCTTCGCTCAATACTACTCAAGATCAGGTGGCAGGCCAGAATAGATCAGCGACAGGGATCTCTGGTAATGAACGAACCAACCCAGCAGGAACCAATTGTGCAACAAATTTTCAGGAAGAAATGGAGGTAGATTGACCATACTCTGAGAAAACAAAGCATCGAGTGGAACCCGAATTGGAAGCATCGAGTCGGTCGTCAGTGCGAGGGTGACATGCAGGAGGTTATGTGGAGAGGAGATGAAAGCATGTGGGCAGACGTGAAGACAGGTGAAGACGTTAGTAGAGAACCAAACGCAATGGAGATATGCGCTGAAGCTCTATGTTCCTCTACGAATGAAAAGAAACAATAATAATAATAATATACCCTATATGTTCAATGAAACAACTAACATTTTCAAACACTTCGAAACACCGAATAATGCACTAAAATTATAGGCTGTAATCGGCTAATCTTTAGTCACACTTTCCAAAACGGGTGGAAAACAATGCAAAGATGAGATCCCAGTCATTTGAAATAATCTACGCGAGCGCCAGATATACAAGCAATCAGCATACATACACAAAATCCATACAACCAACGGAATGTAACACGACGAGCAGCCATCACGCAAGAAAGGAAGGAAGAACACGAGTTCCGTAAGATCTTGTATTTTGTACAATGGAAGAAATCAGATTACGCGGGATACGCCTTTTTCTCCCTTCATTCATATCAACTGTTGGTAGAAGCTGTTCCGCCTCCTCAACGAAATTCACTATAGGGTATTTCCCTGGAAGGAAAAAAAGAACATGGTTAAATACTTTAAATGTAAAGCTTTTCAGTTTGGTACACAGACACACAATGCCTGCCTAGTAGTGGCACTGCCTATGCCTCGTCCCCTCTCATCTAGCAACGTGGTGATTGCTGGGACATTAGTGCCACTGTATTAAGCCTAACTGTACATTTATGAAAATAATCCATGTACACATGTCATACTCTTACAGTAACTAATTTTATATATGCTTGTGGAATATTTGCCATTGTATCATTGAACATTACTTTTCGTTTGTTACATGTATTATGTGAGTAACCTGATATAATCATGAGCAATAAATTGTGCTCAAGAGGTCATCAGTAAATATTACTACTGTATAATACTGTGAGACTGGCAAAATAAATTTTATCCACAATGGAATTTCCCGTCCACTTCTTAGTATCGCTGTTAATGTTTAGCCATATAATTCTTTCCTTTAGCAGCTTGGTAGTAGCACTGACTACGGGATGTGACGAATTATGCAGTTTCTCAAAAACTGTGCTTTCATAGCTACTGGAATAAAAGGTCGACATTTACCGGTAGAGGAATCGTGAACTACTTTCGTTGTGCCAAAGTCAATTTCGGTGAGTTTTAAGGATGTCGTTTTAGAAGACATAATCTTCTTTAGTTCACGATCATTTCTTCGTAGGGTTGCAAGATGTTCGTGATCGACATCGGGACATACAATGCTGTTAATGTGCATATGTGACAGAGCGTCTGCAACTTCATTGTTGTCACCCTTTACGTGTTGAATATCTGAGGTAAACTGGGATATAAATTCAAGATGCCATAATTCACGGGGCGAGCAATTATCTTGTTCGGCTGATAAGGCTTTTATGAGAGTTTTGTGATCCGTAAGGACAAAAAGAGCTGTACCTTTCAGCTTGTGTCTTAAGTGTTTGATAGACAAATAAATATCTAGTAACTCTCTACCAAAGGTGTTATAGGGACACCGAGTGGGATCAGTCGTTTGGAAAAGAATGCGATGGGTTACCGTTCGCCGTGTACTTGTTGTTGTAGAACTGCCCCAATGGCGACGTTCGAGGCCTCCGTCATGAGGGAAAGAGGAGCGTTCTTTTCGCGTCTGACTAAGAGTGTCTTCTCATTTAACATGTACTTAAGTTTCGAATGATTTAACGGCTCTGGCTATCAAGTGAAATGGACGGCCACGTCCACGTAAACAGTCGGTTAACGGTTGCAAAACTGTAGCACGATTGGGAATAAAACGACGGTAAAATTTGATGAGACCCAAAAATCGTCACAATTTTTGAAGTCAGGTAGTGGATAATCTTCAATAGCTTGTACATCATCAAGAACTAGTCTAATTCCTTGGCTGTCGATCAAATGCCGTAGGAATTTCAATAAGGTCTTGCCGGATTCACATTTGTCGAAGTTGATGGACATCTCATACTGGTGAAGTCTTCCGAATACAATCTTCACACGTTTCAGATGTTCTGTCTCATTTACACTCGCAGTAAGTCGTCAATGTATACATAGACAAAGGAGATACCACAGAGTACTTGACCAATTAAGTGTTGAAATGTCTGGGCGGCGTTCATTGGTTCAAAAGGCTTGTGGACGACTTCGTATAAGCCGAATGGTGTGGTAATAGCGGTTTTCGGAATGTCGTCGGGATGGATGAGAATGCGATAATAAGCACTTACGAGATGGATCTTGGAGAAAACTTTAAAATTCGGCAAATTACTGGCGAAATCGTGTATGTGTGGTAGTGGGTACCTGTCGGGTACCGTTTGTTTGCTCGAAGTTGGCTAATCAACATACAGCCGCATTTCACCAGAAGACTTGTTAGGGACCATATGAAGTGGTGAAGACCGAGAGCTATTCGATGGTCGAATGATGCCAAGCTTTAGCATTTTATCAAATTCAGTCGGTGTGGATCAAGGCGTCGAGGGCGTGCAAACACTGGTGATCGAGTAGTTTTAATATAATGAACCACATGATGTTTCAGTCCAGTCTCTTGGTAAGATGGTTGAAGATCAGGGAACTGATTCACTAATTTGGTATATGGAGATGCCGGCGTACGTGTGACCACCAGATTTTAAGACGATGTTTGCCTTATGTACTAGCAAATTATGCTTTGTTGTGTGAGTCGATCAATTTAGGACTTGTTGGATCTACCAGTAATTTATGGTGCTGCATGAATCAATGCCTAAGATTGGCGATGGAATATCTGCAACGATAAATGACCAAGCGTAGACATTCTGCAGAGCAAAGTCATACGTTTGCGTCCATAAGTAACAATACCGGAGTTTTTAACAGCTTGGAGTGCGACTGTTGGGTCAGGATGTTGACGCCCCTGTGTCAGCCAGGAGTGTAGTACCAGTATTTCGATCTGTTACATAAAACAAACGACTGTTGGATTGTGAATTGCCGAT